CCCCAAAACCCCAAAACCCCGTTCATCAATTTTTATCATTAAATCAAATTATCAAAATCTAGAAGATTAAAAGTTATATTCCTGAGTCTTTTTTTAAATTAGCAAAATGAATATTTTATTGTTTAATGCTAAATTCATTTTTTGTTTTTTGACTTTCTTTTTAACTTATTGCTTATTTGAACTTGATTAATTTAATTTTCATCATGACTTTTTGAATCATTCTCAAATATTTGACTGGACCTTACTTATTGAAATAACTCGTATATAATGACTGCAATTGTGATCAAGAGCGGCCCATAAAATATGCCTTAAAGATCAAAAGCATAATAGCCCATAAATACACTCATTCCTAAAATATACGGGTTGGTATACTTAACTTCTTTAACATAAATATCATTAGTTATGCTGTAATCTATGTAAAAATAAGTAACAACTAGAGAAATGCTATTTATTAGATTAGTTTAATTGAAGAAAAAAGCTTGTAACCCCCCGAGCATGCCAATTGTAAAAGTCGAAACTATGGGAACAATCTTAAAGAATGAGGCAATCAAGGCGTATATGTATAAGTACTTTATTTAAAAATAATCGAACAAAAGCCAAGTATATATCGCTTGGAACACTGCTATCTTAATATTACTTAAGAAGATACCTTTAATAGATTCATTGACTGTTTGCACAATTTTATTCCTAATTGAGTTTTCAACTGGAATAACCGAAAGTAACTTTTCAATAAAATCATTCTCATCCTGAAGAAGATAAGTGACAAGAGTAAAATAAAGAATCACATTGAATGCAAAGTTACTCAGAGTTAGCAGCAAGGCTAGAACATTTGATATTCCGAACATTATCAATGAATAAGCTGAACTGTTTATTTTCATGAAGAAGGTCATTACTTGATTGATTAGTTATGTAAGATCAAATTATTAGAGTACAGTATAAATGAGAACTAGATACGGGTAAGCATTTTAAGGGATGAAACCACTAGCATAAGAATTCCTAATCATCTCATCATTGTCTATTATTGATTTATTCCATTCTGGGGGGAAATCAGGATGAATTTTTTGAGGTTGTTTTATTATGTCTTTAATTAGGTCAACAATGTCTGTCACATTTGCATGATCAAATTCATCAGGTAGGCTTAGATTAGTGTTTCTTTTGAGATAGTCTACAGATACCTTTAGATACTAGTTAAAAGTAGCATCAACATCTCTGAGGTTATACTGCCTTAGCAAATTCTCAATGCCAGTACTCTAGGTAACTTGTAATTGAAACTATACAAAATCTGATCTGAGTAATAAAGAGATTGCTACTATGACCATTAAAAATCCTATTCCAAAAGAGAATACTAATATGATCGGAACTTAACTCCTAAGAAGAGCCTTGAAATTTGTTTTATGACTACCAAGGAAAAAATCAAGAACTTTTGATTTTCTAAGCAGTAGAATTAGAATAGTCAGGAAAAGTCTTAGAACAAAGTCTATAATCTAAATTTGTATAAATAATTTAAAACTATAGCCCAAACCTAGCTTCTAAACAGATATATACAAAATTATTATCCAAAAAAGCACATTGAAATCACTAAATATAGTCACTTTGTGAAGCTTTCCTTTCTCTAGCTTTTTTTCCAATGCTTGTCTTATATCAGATGTTATTAACTTTAGAGCCATAAATATCTAACCATTGAGGTAATAATAGTGTAGTAAGATTACAAGTGCCTTAATTAGAGAGTAAATATTTGATTTGCTCAATAAAAAATCAGTTTCCTTCACTGATTTGTAGCAATAATTGATAAATCTATCTTTATATGGTCTCAAAGATGTAGCAGTGATTATAGACAGGAATAAGCAGAAAAAAAATTGTCCAAGTAAAATATAGTTCATGTATACTATCATTACAATTAATAGTACCAATAATAAAGAAAAGGTAAATGCTCTAAACATTCCCAATTCCTTCTAAAAGCGCTTATCATTGTAGTCAATCTAATTATCAGAATTAAACTTTTAATCATCATCTTAATGACTCTCTAATCTGTGAGATTGGTTAAAAATGCCAAGATTTTTTCTCAATTATTGGGAACTCATCATATAAAACTAATCCAATAAGGACTATCTTTATGGTTTGGTGACATTCTTTTTTATATTCGAAATAGAAGGTTTTAATTTATTTTCTGGTTAAACATCATCTTAGCTTTCAGATGATTCTTCTTAGAACTTAAACTTTGAATCGTTAATTTGTTAGTTAGAGTTATTATTTCGATTTATTTTCTATTGCATTTTAAATTAATGTTTATAAAATATCTAATTTAAACTTTAAGTTTGTATTAATAGCTTACGGGGTTTTGGGGTTTTGGGG